TTTTATTTTGTTGTTGTTGTTGAGAATATACACAGCAAAACATACGCCAATTCAAGTTTCTACACCTATAATTTAGTGACACTGCTTATATTCTTCAAGTTGTCCAACCATTCTCACCCTCCTTTTCTGAGTTGTTCCTCCCTCATTAACATAAACTCACTGCCCCCTAAGGTTCCTATCTTATCTTTCAAGTTGCTGTTGTCAGTTTGATTCCATATAGATAGGTCTTAAAAGAACACAATGCTTAAGGCAGACCTTTTTCACTAGTTAGGCTAAACTATTGCTTGGTTTTAAGATGACTTCAGGGGATATTTTTGTTTTAGGTATAAAGATTATCTCAGGGCAGTAGTTTCTGGGGTTTATCCACCCTCCATGGCTCCAGAAAGTCTAGAGTCCATGAAAATTTGAAATTCTGTTCTGCATTTTCCTCCTTTTGATCAGGATTCCTCTATGGAGTCTTTGATCAAAATGTTTAGTAATGGCAGCCAGGCACCATCCAGTTGTTCTGGTCCCATGGCAAAGAAGGCAGTTGTTCATGGATGCAATTAGTCACAACAACAAACTGTGACTCTTAGAAGACATCTGGCTTCCATTTTCTTGGGTGTGTTCCCAGTGGTTGGATACATGACCTCTAGCAAAATAAGGCCACATTGTATTTATAGGAGCCTTCTCCTATTATAGCTTTTTAAACAATGTTCCTTCCACCTGTGAAGTATACCTTGCTATATTTTTTCCGGTATAGTCTGACTATCCCACAATGTCCAGTAGTCAGTATTTATATATAAACATTCCATAACCTCCTCCTATTCCTCACTCTCTTTCTTCCTCTGTTGCTCCACATGAATAGAGACCAATTTTTGTGCCTTGGATGGCCGCCTGCAAGCTTTTAAGACCCCAGGCACTAAGCAACAAAGTAGGAGACAGAACAGAAAAGCACTAAACACATTATTAGGCCAATTAACTGGGATGTCCCATGAAACCATGACCCTAAACCTCCAAACCAAGGAACCAAATCCTATGACGTGTTTGGTAGGAACCAAGTCCCACGAGGTGTTTGGTTTGCCTCAACAGCTACTTTTTTTTTTTTCCCATTGTTGTAAATATCAACAACTTTTGCCAATTCAACTTTTTACAGGTGTACAACTTATTGACAGCAATTACAATAATCAGCTGTGCAACCCTACCCTTAATCAATGCGATTTCTTTCCACAATGTGAAAAAATTTAAGTATGCATTAAAAGAAAACCAAACCTGTTGCCATCAAGTCAATTCCAATGCACAGCGACCCTACCGGGCAGAGCAGTACTCTCCCACAGCATTTCCAAGGAGTGGCTGGTGGATTCGAACTGTCTACCTTTTGTTTAGCATCCAAGCAAGCTCTTAACCACTATGTCACCGGGGCTCCAAGGATGCCTTATGATTGTGGAAAAAAATATTCTGAGGTCTATCCAATTTGCTACTAAAAATTTGAAAAAGCAGCAGTTGAGTTTTAAGATTAAGCAGTACATCATTAACAGCGATAGAAAAAGACCATAAGATGGGAAATATCTAGCACTTTTGAATTCTCTCACCTCCTTATCCTCCCACTCCATCTGCCTCCCCAGCTCCAAACTCTAGATAGAACTCACCACTCCCCTTCTCCACCTCTAGTTCCCAGGCTGATAAAAGTTGCTGAACAGTTGAAGGCCAAGTTAGGTCACCATAAATTGTTTTCCAAACTCTTTGTGGCTTAATTTTTATCTAATCTTTCCTCCCATCACTTCTGCTCCAGAAAAACAAATATTTCCTTTCCTTTCCAACTCTCTATCTATGCCATTGACCTCATTTTCTCCCTCCACGTTCAGGGTCATGCTCCACCAATCTCCTCTCTCTTATTTTCTCATTTTCAATTACTCCTTTTCCACAGACTTTTTCTCCCAACAAACAGCCCTGGTGGCACAGCGGTTAAACACCCGGCTGCTAACCAACAGGTTGGCAGTTCAAACCCACTAGCTGTTCCGTGGGAGAAAGATGCAGCAGTCTGCTTCTGTAAAGATTACAGCCTTAGAAACCCTATAGGGCAGTTCTACTCTGTTCTATAGGGTTGCTAAGAGTCAGAATCGATTCGATGGCCATGGGTGGGTTTATCCTAACTAACAAACCTGTTCATAGTGGCTTATTATAAAAATAAACAAAAACAGGCCAAGAAAAACACCACTCTCCTTCCAACTGTACTTCCGGAAGCTATCATCAGCTATTTGCGTACACCAACCAAACGTCTTTATCTTCCTGACAAATTTATTAAAAGTGGAATCTACCCTTATTGCATCCACTTCCACACTCAACACGTCCTTTTTAAGTCACTTTAATCTAGGCGAATGCACTCAGCACTTTAATGGACCAATTCTTTAAAAGATTATTACATAATCACCTCCCAGGAGTCAGATTTTATTGGCCTATTTTCAAGCTTCATCCTATTTGATCTCTCCACAATTAATATCCAGCATTGTTGGTAACCCCTCCTTCTAGAAACTTCCCACTGTTTCTTCTCTGATGCTGACTCTGAGCTCTCCTGGTTTTCTTCCTTATGTTTTTTTCCCTCAGTTTCTTTTCCTTAACTCTTAAATGTATGAATTCCACAAAGATCTGTGCTTAGTCTTCTTTATCCTACATAGTCTCATCAGTTCTATGGCTCTAAAGATGGATTTTTATGCTGTCTCACTTTCCTTCCTTGAACTCGTTCCTCAGTCCCCTCCTGGTCCCATCATTCTACTGAAATGCTCTTGCTAAACGTCCTCAATGATCTCCAACAGACTCCTCCAGTCTTTATTTTGCTTGAGTTCTCGGCAGATTTAGACACTGTTGACCACTCTGCTTTCTTCCTCTGGTTTCACCAACACATCACTCCCTAGTTTTCCTTCAATCTTTCTGGCTTCTTCTGTTTCCTATGCAGGTCCTTCCTCTTCTACCCCACCATTCAATGACAGACTTCCTCAAGGCACTCTCCCCTTCTCACTCAGTACTCACTTCCAGCTTCGATTATATGGATACATGGAAACTCACAAATGTTTATCTCTAGACTACAGTTCTTTGAGCTCCAGACATATGTACATGTACACATGAGCACAACGTATACAGCTGCCTACTTATATCTCCTCTTAGATATCCAAAAGGAATTAAAAAAAAAAAAAAAAAAACCTCAGTATATGTCCAAAATGAACTTATGATCTCTCCCCAAATCTGGTTCTCTATCAGTATTTCCTGAACAATACAACATTCACCTAGTTGTGCAAGACAAACCAAGAAGTCGTGTTGGATACCTCCTTCTCTTTACCCCAATGTCCATTCATTACCAATATCCAATCTATTTTACCTCCTAAATATCTCTTAGATTTGTCTATTCCTCTCCATCTCCAGTATCACTATTTTAAGCAGATGAGCAAGAATTAATCAAACATACTCACGAGAGTGTGTGTTCTCATACACGTGTGCATGCGGATTTAATAGGCTTAATCCTTATGTTGGAGATAAGAAAATAAAGGCTGGGTGGGGTTACAGAACTTGCCCCAAGTGGCAGAGATGATTACTTAAAACCAAGTCTGACTCCAAAGCCAGTGGCCACAGTAAAGAAAAATAAATCACAATATTAAGCTAATTATGTGAACTTTAAAGAAACAAAAGAATAGCCTTTCTTTACAGTTTTCTTAATGAAAGGATAACAGTATTTGTGACAGCAATCATGTAATCATATCATCCATGCCAGTGAAGGGAGGACACGAAAATTTCAAAGATACCCTTATTCCACACACCGCCCCCCGCACCACAAACTTTTTATTTTGAAAACTTCCAAAGCTATGGAAATGTTGCAAGAATAACAAAATGAACAACTAAATATTCTTCACCTAGATTCAACTACTGTTAACATTTTGTCACTCTTGCTTTAGCCCTCTCTCTCTCCACACACACACAGACTTTTTTCTGGAAACATCTGAGGATTAGTTGCAGACTCATATGTTAACCCCTATGTGTTTTGTATATTAAAAAAAAATTTTTTTTTTTTTTTAAATAATGCCAGATTTCTAATGGTCTCAGCCCCCCTGGAACATAGTCATATATCCAGAAATAAGGAAAGAAAAAAAAAAAAAGACTTCTGAATAGTAAGGAAAACCGTAATTACAAAGCTATGACTACGTATTTAGTATTGTGAACCACCTCTAATCCATTCTGATTGGAGGCAAGCTGTAAATAAGGAATTTATATTATTTACAAAATTAAGGTTATTGATTAAGCAAGTCTGAACAATGGTTTCCACATTTGGGATGGAAACAAAATGGTCTCCTGAAGGTGTCATTGTTTAACTAACTATCCAGTACCACAACTGGTGTTTATAATAATGACTCTAATTTTATAAGAACACATTCTGTTTGACAAAGTCTGCTTTTTACGGCAAGGATGTTTATGATACAGTTTATAAAGATTTTTATCCTCCATAGCTTTACTTCTAGACAAAGCTGGATTAGTGAGGCATTGCTGAACATTAGATTAAAAACTGGCGCTGTCTATACAGGAGATAAGATGCACATTTCATGAATTTCCTGTGAAAGTTTACAGATGATGACCCATATTTAAAAGCAAAAATCAGTTCATTTTCTGGTCTGTACTGCCAACAATTAAACAGTGAAAACACTTCAGTCAGAATCTAAACAGACTACTTGAAATTTCTCAGAAAAACTACAGGGAAATCTGAATCTCTTCTCTGAGTATTATTTTAAACATCCAGCCTCAGTCATACAAAGGGAAGAGTTCTGCCTTTTTAATTGCTTAAATCATGATTGTTAAGACGTATTACAAAGACTGTCACTGCCAGAAAGAAATGTGGTGAAGCAGACAATAAAAACTGTCCAAAGGTGCTAAAGTATCGACTCCTGGGAAGAATCAATCACGGATCATGATAAAACACAGGTGGCTCTGAGCCACTTTCTAAAATGAAAGTGAGTGTAACGATTTCCATATTACAATACCTGCTGTGGGGGAATTTGCATGGTGAGACTTTTTTGGCAGGTTGAAGATCTGTTCACCAGGGTCAGGGGGAGGAATTGCATCTTGCCCTTGTCGTGCCTCTACAGGATCATACTCCTTCCCATCATAGTTAGCATCATAGAATTTCTTAAACCACTGAATAAAATCCAGGTTGTCTTGGAAACGTCCTTTCACTAGCTTCTCCACTGGAATTACCTGTAATATAAAATCACCAGGTGAGTCACAAACCTCAGGTTTGTTTATATTTAACAAAACTGAAGTGTCACCTCAATTTAACTGTATCCCAATTCATGGTTACTGATCTCTCCCCCAGCTTCTTCTGGCTGTATTCTAGAATTAATATAATTCTTCATCAGATTAAAGAATTAAACCAAAATGTCACAGTTGGGTCTCTTTGAATATTTAATACTTACAAACAAACAAGACAAAAGTAGGATTACCCTTATCTGTCAAGTGAGGATGATCCTCCTCACAGTGTGTTTATTGTCAAAGCATCTTCCCCCAAAACCTAGGCCTGGGATGTTGTGCTGTTTCAAGATTGATAGGTTATCCTTAATTCTGGCCCAGTTGTGTTGGGATAAAACCTTACAAGAATTATAGCTACTAGAAAATGAGTAAGACTCCAATCAGTGCAAACATATACCAACCTAATGATTCATGGGAAGCAAAATGAGCTTTCACACAGCTTATTTACAATGTAGAGAGACAAGCATGAAAACAACTAGCCACAACTCAGGACCAGCAGCACATGGGCTACACAGGAGCACAGGTACCACGTGTCATGGGAGTGGTGGTGGGGAGCAACAGAGGCTGACTGAGGGGGTCACAGAAGGCACTTTGGAAGAGAAGGCGCACAGCAGCCACATCAACTTCTGAGGCATGCATCTCAGCATTTCATGGAGTAACCTTTCCTACTTGCAACCTAAGAGTCGATCGGCATTTCCTTTAGAGGTCTTACAGGAGCCTTTGGGATTACGTAGAAAAAAAGAAAGAAAAAGTGGTTTGATTGCTTAGCTCTAATTTAGTGGGCAACCATTTTTTTTATTTTTTTTTATTTTATTGTTGTACTTTAAATGAAAGTTTACAATTCAAGTTAGTCTCTTATAGAAAAATTTATACATTGTTATGTGACCCTAATTGCTCTCCCTATACTGTGATAGCACACTCCTCCTTTCCACCCCTGATTTCCCATGTCTATTCAACCAGTTCCTAACCCTCTCTGCCTTCTCTTCTCACCTCCAGACAGGAGCTGCCCACTTAGTCTCATGTATCTACCTGAGCACACACTTCACAAGTATCATTTTAAGTCCCACAGTCCAGTTCAATCTTTGAAGAGTTGGCCTCGGGAATGGTTTCAGTTCTGGGTTGACAGCATCCGGGGGCCATGCTTTCCGGAGGTCCTCCAGTGTCAGTCAGACCACTAAGTCTAGTCTTTTTACTAGAATTTGAGCTCTGTACCCTACTTTTCTCCTGATCCATCAGGGACTCTCTGTTGTGTTCCCTGTCAGGGTGATCATTGGTGGTAGCTGGGCACCATCTAGTTCTTCTGGTCTCAGGCTGATGCAGTGTCTCTGGTTTATGTGGGCCTTTCTGTCTCTTGGGCTAATACTTTACTTGTGACTTTGGTGTTCTTCATTCTCCTTTACTCCAGGTGGTTTGGACCAATTGATGCATCTTAGATGGCCGCTTGCTAGCTTTTAGGACCTCAGACGTAATTCAGTGGGCAACCATTTCTGCAAGCAAATGGAAAGGTATGTAGATAGCTACCCTAACGGCAACATTACCAGGTTGTTACTTGCTACAGTTTTGGGTTGGAATACTAGTTGAGTGCGAGCCACACGAGTTACAAAGCCGGGGTGTGAGACTGTGTGCATGAGGGTGTGTGAGTATGTGTGTGGCTCAGACAAAATCACAGTGCTCAAAGCACACAACTTCACTGTGTAACAATATGAATGGAAGGGGTATAAATTAATCTTTCAGTAAGGCTCTGCCACTTCAGGAACTATGTATCATTGATATCCTAACATGCATCATCAGGACCACTTTAAAAAAAAAAGTAGGCAGACTTCAAATATCAATGACAGCTTGAAAGGAAAAAAAAAAAAAAAAAGCAACTGAAGCGTTTCAGACCACCCATTAAACGAAATCATTTTCAAAAAAAATTTTTTTTCTGCAGCTAAAATGCAAACTAAATCAAATACAGTAGAAAATAAAGAGAAGCAAACTTTTGGAGGACACCTCATTTTTCAAGAAGACTCTTCCTGGTAATAGAGAATTAGCTGCTCTCACTTCCCCTGAATGTGAAGTCTGCTCACATGTTGCACTAAATTTCCTTTTCATCGTACTATTTAAATATTTTTATGCTTTCTGATTTTTAAATTTTGTTTATGCTGATATTGTTTTAGAAAATGACTTCTTAGAACATAAAGCCTTAATTAACATGCTACTGTACCGTGCCTATTGCCAGACATGTGGAAATTTATAGTTTTAGAGGATGGTTGTGTGTTAGCATTTAAAAGAAGGCATTTACTGCTGCTGACTTAATTTTGCATTCTCTATCAAAATGGAGGGGGCAATGGTGGTTCAGTGGTAAAATTCTCGCCTTCCATGCGGGAGACTCAGTTCCATTCCCAGTCAATGCACCTCACGTACAGCCATCACCCATTTGTCATTGAAAGCTTATGTGTTGCTACCATGCTGAACAGGTTTCATCGGTGCTTCCAGACCAAGACAGACTAAGAAAGGTCTGGTGATTTACTTCTAAAAATCAGCCAATGAACATCCTACAGATTACAATGAGCTGATCGACAACTGATCATGGGGATGGCACAGCACCAGGCAACTTTTTGTTCTGCTGTGCATGGGGTCACCACGAGTTGGGGCAGACTCACTGGCCGGTAACAACACAACATCAAAAGGGAAGTTCCAGGGGCATAAATTAAAAATCTGAGGTAGCAAGCAAAACTTTGCACAGAACTTTCCCACACTCTGTCAGGCTATGACAAGTGTGAACAGGGACCACTGTCTCTCACAGGACCTTTGGATAGAATCACAGCACATTAAAGCTAGAGAGGCTAATAAAGGTCATCAAGGTAGTCTCCTTACACTGTAAGAATTTTTTTTCCAACATCCTTAACAATTGCTCGTCCATTCTCTGTGTGAATACTTGTAGAGAATTACTGTTGTTGTTGTTGTTAGGTGCTGTCGAGTCAGTTCCAACTCATAGTGACCCTATGCACAACAGAAAGAAAAACTGCCTGATCCTCTGCCATCCTCACAATTGTTGTTATACCTGAGCCCGTCGCTGTGCCACTGTGTCAATCCATCTCATTGAAGAGTCTTCCTCTTTTTCCCTGACCCTCTACTTTACCAAGCATGATGCCCTTCTCCAGGGACTGATCCCTCCTGATAACATGTACAAAGTATGTGAGACGTAGTCTCGCCATCCTTGCTTCTGAGCAGCATTCTGGCTGTACTTCTTCCAAAACAGATTTGTTTGTTCTTTTGGCAGTCCATGGTATATTCAATATTCTTCACCAACACCAGAATTCAAAGGTGTCAATTCTTCTTCAGTCTTCCTTATTCACTGTCCAGCTTTCACATGCATATGAGGTGACTGAAAACACCATGGCTTGGGTCAGGCGCACCTTAGTCTTCAAGGTGACATTGTTGCTTTTCCACACTTTTAAGGAGGTCTTTTGCAGATTTGCCCAATGCAATGCGTCTTCTGATTTCTTGACTGCTGTTTCCATGGGTATTGATAGTGGATCCAAGTAAAATGAAATCCTTGACAACTTCAATCTTTTCTCCATTTATCATGTTGTTGCTTATTGGTCCACTTGTGAGGATTTTTGTTTTCTTTATGTTGAGGTGTAATCCACAGTGAAGGTTGTGGTCTTTGATCTTCATCAGTGCTTCAAGTCCTCTTCACTTTCAGCACACCATCAGTGTAATTCAGGTTGTTAATGAGTCTTCCTCCAATTCTGATGCCCCATTCTTCTTCATATAGTTCAGGTTCTTGGATTATTTGCTCAGCATACAGAGTGAATAGGTATGGTGAAAGGATACAACTCTGACGCACACCTATCCTGACTTTAAAACACGCAGTATTCCCTTGTTCTGTTCAAACAACTGCCTCTTGATCTATGTACAGGTTCCTCATGAGCACAATTAACTGTTCTGGAATTCCCATTCTTTGCAATGTTATTCATAATTTGTTTTGATCCACAGTCAAATGCCTTTGCACAGTCAATAAAACACAGGTAAACATCTTTCTGGTATTCTCTGCTTTCAGCCAAGATCCATTTGACATCAGCAATGATATCCCTCGTTCCACAGCCTCTTCTGAATCCGGCTTGAATTTCTGGCAGTTCCCTGTCGATATATTGCTGCAGCTGCTTTTGCATGATCCTCAGCAAAATTTTACTTGCGTGTGATATTAATAGTATTGTTTGATAATTTCCGCATTCGGTAGGGTCACCTTTCTTGGGAATAGGCATAAATATAGACATCTTCCAGTTGGTTGGCCAGGTAGCTGTCTTCCAAATTTCTTGGCATAGGCAAGTGAGCACTTCCAGTGCTGCATCCGTTTGTTGAAATATCTCAATTGGTATTCAGCCAGTTCCTGGAGTGTTGTTTTTTGCCAATGCCTTCAGTGCAGCTTGGACTTCTTCCTTCAGCATCATGGGATCCTGATCATATGCTACCTCCTGAAATGGCTGAATGTCGACCAATTCTTTTTGGTATAGTGTCTCTGGGTATTCTTTCCATCTTTTTTTGATGCTTCCTGCGTTATTTAATATTTTCCCCATAGAATCCTTCAATATGACAACTCGAGGCTTGAATTTTTTCTTCAGTTCTTTCAGCTTGAGGAATGGAGAGCGTGTTCTTCTCTTTCGGTTTTCTATCTCCAGCTCTTAGCACATGTCATTATAATACTTTCCTCTGTCTTCTAGAGCTGCCCTTTGAAATCTTCTTTTCAGCTCTATAACTTAATCATTTCTTCCTTTCGCTTTAGCTACTCGACCTTCAGGAGCAAGTTTCAGAATCTCTTCTGACATCCATTTTGGTCCTTTCTTTCTTTCCTGTCTTTTTAATGACCTCTTGCTTTCTTCATGTATGATGTCCTTGATGTCATTCCACAACTTGTCTGATCTTTGGTCATCAGTATTCAGTGCGTCAAATCTGTTCTTGAGATGGTCTCTAAATTCAGGTGGGATATACTCAAGGTCATACTTCGGCTCTCATGGACTTGGTTCTAATTTTCTTCGGCTTCAACTTGAATTTGCATATGAGCAATTCATGGTCCATTCCGCGGTCAGCCCCTGGCCTTGTTCTGACTGATGATGTTGAGCTTTCCATCCAGCATCACAGCAACAAGCAAGCCCCCACAGAACAACAAACTGACAGACGAGTGGGGGCTAGAGAGATATGGAGCCCATTAATTTGTTATATAGGAGTTCCATCATTAAATCAATGAAAGAAGTGTTTTCTTTCTCTTCAATCTACAAGTGTGCATAGATAAATGAATGAAAAAGATACAAGTGATGCTGCTAATATGTAAATGTAAGGAGAACCTATATAGCTTTGGTTTGAAATATAGGTAGTACCCAACTTACAACGGGGTCCCGTTCCAATGATTCCGTCATAGGTCTGTTCTGACACAAGTCCAATACTTCCTTTTCTTTTTTTACGTTTTCATTAGTATTGCCTTTTATTATCAGTATCTTTATAAATCCAATCTTTATTTGTCTTTGGGAGTTGGAAACATTACATATAAACTTAGATATATTTTCATACATACATAAAAAAATAAACGAATCATAAAAATTTATTCCAATAATGTAGAACAGACAGACAATGTTGGCATTTTGTCAGTTTCAGTAATAACTCCACTTGTGGAAAGTTCTGGATCATCTAGATTATCCCTGAGAATGGAGATAGCATTTCTAGTCAGAAAATTAGTGAGCGTAGTCTGTACGGTCTTTTTCTTTTTTTCTTCATATATTTCCCAGCAACATCTCACTGCTTCCTGAATCTGCCTATCTGTTTTAGCAAAGCAATCAGTGTTTGGGTCCATATTTTCAAGCAACTGAAACCCTTGATTTAGTTTAGAAAAAAACTTCAGCTAATCCTTTCACTGCAAATCTTTTTGACAACTTCTCTTGTTCCTTTTCCCTCATTATTTCTTTCTTCTTCAGTATTTCTTTCCTCTTCAAAATTCATTAAGTTCTGATCTGTCAATTCCCCTTCTTTGTGATCTCTGAGCTGTTCCACATCAGCAATATCAAGTTCTAAATTCAGTGTTTTTAACATATGGACAATTCTTCCACCAATCTCTTCCATTAGCCTGATAAAATACTTGCAGCGTGTTCACGTAACTCAGCATTTTTTTCCAAATCCCCTGCATGCATTTTCCCGTAACTTCCTCCCAGGAAGACGCAATGTTCCAGATACACTGCAGAATATTATAATGAAGTCAGTATCAGTGTTGTTAACAATGAAGTTGAAACTGTAATGGCTGTCAGACGCATGCACAGTTCAACTGAGGTATGTCGTTAGAGTTGAACCTTGCCCAACTTCCTATCCGTTACGACTCCCTACACTGACACTGACACAGACTTCATTGTAGACCAAACCATAGTCTGCTATACGGCAGTGTTTTGAACAGTAGATCATAACACTGAACACCTGCAAGTGAACATCTGAGAATGATAACATCAACAAATTACATGCTGCAACACTGTATGTAGTACATATTACTAATGATAAGATGTACAAAAAACAAAAAACATAAGTGCAGTTCGTCATAATTCAAATACATCGTTAAGTTGGGGACTACCTGTATAAACAGAAGGAGCTAACTGGAAATTAATGATAGCAGAACACATTTTAAAGATCAAAATTGCAAAATAATCCAAAAGCTTAAGATGGTAAAGAGAATGTATGTTTTGACATAAAAATTCTGAGAAAATGGGAAGCTAAGATTTTCTTGACAATATTCTGATAAGAATGCTTTGATTTGGGAAGATATTAATTGCATTAAATTAAAAAATACATAGGGTTCACCAAACGTTTCTCCTTTCTTTTAACTTCCATATCTCTTTAACCCAATATTTTATTATTACTTGTTACTCCCACAGCTTATTTACTGCTACTCTTTATGCAAAGAAAAGTTTTCCATTTCTTCCCTAATGATTTATCTTTTTTCCCTTATTCAAAATTCATTTTTTCCAAGTCTATTTCCTCTAAGAGATATATCCTAAAGAAGGAATACGGACTTATATTTGTAGTTTGAACAGCAGTAAACGTGCAGAGACTGAATGGGCCATTAGCAATAGTCCTTTATTTGGGGAAAAAGGACTCCAATCTAACCCATTCATATCACTCCAGGACAAAACAATTCAAAAGCAAAAAAAGGGAAACGTAGCACCTACTGAGACTCTGAACATAGGCGCATTTTCACCTGCATACCCTCATTTCAATTTCATAACCACAGGAAAGGAGCTTTTAGTCCTATTTTACAGATGAGTAAACTCAAACTCAAAGAATTTAAATAACTTGCTCAAGTCATGGAGCTGGGATTCAAACCTATGCTATTCCCACTGTCACAGGCTATTTCTCCAAAGGAACACAAAACACAAAGAACTACAGTGGCACCTGGCAATCATAAAAAAGTTCTCATTTGCAATACTAAAATGTAACTAGTAACAACATTTTTACATTTGTAATTCCTGTCAGAGTTTTCAGTAAAATGACTACAAGTTTAGAAAATCCCCTTAAATAAAAACCTCATACAAATAAAGGCCTTCGGGGCTTTTGTGGGAAGCGGGTGGATACTTTATGCTATGTACACACCCCAACATACTATTGAGATATCAAGATATATCCAACTGATAAGTCTGTGGATTTTGCATTTCTGCTCAAAAGCAACTGAAGGAAAGACAATACATTTTATGGAGGTACAAGTCAGTCTCCTACCTTATCAACATTCATTCGCTTAAACGATGCTTGCAGAAGTTTAAAATTGTGAATATACTCATGCTCCAACTTTGCTTGAAACTTTACTTTCTTCAAACTAATGCAGCCTGGGAAGAGCATATCCATGAACTGGCAATAGGCTGCTCCTGGAAAGAGACAAGAAAAGGACTGACGTGAGTGTCACCGTACCCAGGTGTGGTGAAGACTACTAGACAGGAAGGTAATCATGCTATGGAGCTGTTGTCACTCAAGCAGAGCCCTCCTGGCTGCATGTGCTTCTCTCACCACCATTGTCCAGCTCCTTGTCCACAGGGGCTGGGGCTGGAAGGGACAGTGCCTCCGCACAGCACCTGTCACTTCTCCATTCCTAGACGCTGAGTACTAACACTGTTCACCAGAGAATCACCAGGCTCCATGTACAACCAGCAGAACCTCATACTTTAATGCCAAGGAAATGAGGGTAAGAATAGCCCTTCTCAGCTTCTCCCAGAAAAAAGGAACATATTTCTTTGTCGTCTATTTGCTACTGCTCGAAGTCATCAAAACATATAAACTTAAGAGGAAAAATAGCAGAAAATTTTCAACAAGAGAGAACTACACAAACTCTCATGAAATGTGTAGCTCAGAACACATACAACCTATGCCCAAGCTGTTTTATATCCATCTTGTAAATGACTTAGGCAAAACTGTAAAACTCGGTGATCTAGTATCAAAAACTGCTGTATACGAATTTAATTCCAGTCCAGAGCAATGACATTCCCATGATGACATGAAGGAAGAAGACCTGAACTGGAACCTATGGGGTTTAGAGTCACTGCTTATGACTGAGAAATAAACGACAGACATTCAACAGTTCTGTGAGGAAATGGTCATAGAAGAGGTTTATTAGTAAGTCTTTGATTTTTTTTTAAGAGCTCTTAGAAGACGGCAATTTCAACTAGAAAAAACTTGCAGGACCATATTTACTGATTCATATCTCCTTAACAGTAAAGGCTAAAGGCATTTAGAAAAAAAAATCAAAGGAAGAATCGCAATTGAGTGGCAAGAATAGGAACAGGCAGCCATTTTTGTGTTCTCTCCTTCTTTGCTGACTCCAGATCTCTCTGTTGGTCTCTCTATAATGTGCCAATAATAAGCCCTTCTGGAATATGATGGACCTCCTCCCACTCCCTGTCATCAAGGCTTCTATGAGGATCCTTTCATTCCATTCAGGGAACTGGCCTTTATTTAGTTAGGAAGCACCTACTCGGTCGCTTATGTCAGATAAATGTCCAGCATCCTTTACTGAGATGGGAATTACAGAGAAGGGAAAGTAGACACCAGGGGCCTAAGGATTGCTGGAACAGGAAAGGCTGGGGCAACTCATTCTTTGTAGGTAAAGTGATGAAATATAGGCCATAATAAATATCACCTCCAGAACCATCTCTCCAACACCTGACCTTAGTTGCCAATACTCTGAACACTAGTAAGTTCCTAGTCCGGCAGATGGGGGTCTCTTAAGAACAAGACAAAACAGAACAAAATCATCGGGTAAGAGAAACATCATGACCTGGGGGAAATTCTTATAGTCATCACCCAATTATTCAGCTCTTTCTTTGGAACTGCCACCAGATGAAGCAAATTCCAATTAGCCATTCTAACATCATTCTATACAGATGAGAGAGTGTGTGTAACACCCAAACCAAACCCAATCCGCTGTCTAGAGTCGATTCCAACTCACAGCAACCCTACAGGACGGAGTAGAACTGCCTCATAGGGTTTCCAAGGCTATAATCTTTATGCAAGCAGACTGCCATGTCTCTGTCCCCCAGAGGGGCTCATAGGTTGGAGCGGCCCACCTTTCGGTTAACCACTGCACTACCAGTTCTTTAAATTAACCTAATTGCATGTATCACTTGATTCCTGCTGGAACCCTGACTACTACAGCTCTTTCAGCCAAGTGCTTAACTGCTGCACCACTAGGGCTCCTTGTGCCTAACACAACTGTCTCATTATCTGCTCTTTACAGAGTTAGCACTTTTGTAGAGTTTAGCAAAAAATTTAGCTATTGAGACCCATATATTTGTACTACATATATACTTACAATCAAACCAAATTACTCACTTTTCAAATTAAGAAAGGACATAGCTTTTAAATAAAAAAAAAAAACAAAAAACTGTTCAATACAGATGGAAGGAAGAGAGACAGGGAGAGAGAGAGGGAGGGAAATCACGTCTAATTTCATGATCCAGAGATAACCACAGAAATAACGCTGTTAGTGTTCTGGCGTATACAGTCTAATCATTTTTTTGGTATGTTTTCATTCTTTTGGTAAATATATATTTTTTCTTTAAAATGTGGTCATATTGTAAAAATTATGTCTATTTTTTAATTTTTTTCCAACCTAACAGACCATGATTCCCTTTCTGGGTCACTTAATACGCTCTACCAACATTTTTAATAGCTTTCTGATTTTTGTATCAGCTTAGCAACTTCCCTAAGCGAAGATTACATAAATATTCATGTGTATCTTCTTCAAGTACTTCTATGGTTTCAAGTTTTACATTTAAATTCTGAATCCATGTGGAGTTTATTTTGGTCTGTGACATAAAGTATAGCTCTAATTTCAGTTATTCCAAATGTTAGTGGAAATCTGTCATTTTTGGCTCCCCAGCATTTGGATACCTTCCTATGTGGGGAGATGCTACAGTACCCTGCCTCCCAGCATAGCAGCTGAAAGTGGGCAGACACCACTTTCTCCACCCCCAGCAGGAAGGATGAGGCTTGTGACCTAGGCTCTGCCTCCTGGATGTTCCTTCCTGGGTGTCAGAGTCTTGAGGGAGTGAAAGAAACTCCCAGGGACCATAGAGTTTGGTCATGGTTGGGTGGTGGGACCTGGAGTCCTGAAGCAGAGACAGCAACCCAGTGGTTTCCTAACCACACTGCTCCTGTGGCAGAAGGGAGGCTGTTCCCAGGCTCCTTAGCATCCTTTGGTTCCTGTCAGCTTCTGAACTTGGCTCCCCAGTCTTTCCACTGACTCTCAGCTACCCAATATCCTTCCTGTAAATTCCTCTCCGCTTAAGCTTGCCAGGGCTGGTTTCTGTTACTTTCAACCAAAAATGCTGACAAAGTTAGCTTGGCGTTGAACAACATCATTTAATTAATAATCTATAATTTTTCCATGGATTAGAAACACTATCTTTATCATGTATTACTTCTTTAAAAAACATGTATTTAGGTCTTCGTTTAGACTGTAAATTCTGACTTTTAAAGTCTGTCCCTGTGATAGTTCCATACTCTTAGCCATTTAAATTCTATAATATGTATTACTCTCTGTAGAACAACTTCCCCTACTCCTCTCAAAATTTCCTCATGCATTTATTATCTCCATTATATTTCTGAATTTGTTATACATGGCATGTAATAACAGAGCTTTATTTAGATATAATTAACTTCATATCATAAAGTTCAACCTTTTAAAATTTACAATTTAAATGGTCTTTAATGTATTTACAGAGTTGTGTGTCTACCACCACTATCTGATTCTAGAACGTCTTCATCATCTCAAAAAGACACTCCATACCCATAAGCAATCACTCCCCATTTTCCCCTCCCTTCAGCCCCTGGTAACCACTATTTTCTGTCTCCATGGATCTGTCTATTCTGAACATTTCATATAAGTGAAATCACACAATACGTGGCCTTTTGTGTTTGGGTTCTTTCACCTAGAATGTTTTCAAATTTCATCCATGTTGTAAGTATGTTATCAGAATGTCAGTCGTTATTATAGCTAAATAATATTCTACTGTATTAATACACATGCTGCTTACCCATTCATCAGTCGATGGACAAATACTGTATGATTCCACTTACATAAAGTAATTGGAATAGGCAAATGCAGAGAGACAGAAAGTTTATTAGTGATCACCATGGGTCCTGGGACGGGGGACAAAATGGGCAGTTATCCTTAAGGGGTACTAAGTTTCTGTTCAGGGTGATGGAAAATATCTAGAAATGGATACTGGTGATGGTTGCACAACATGGTGAATGTAATTAATGTCACTGAATTGTACAGTTAAAAATGGTTAACATGGCAAATTTTTTTGTTACATCTATTTGACCACAATAAAATTTAATAAATAAGTAAACTGGGAAACTTTCCATATTTTTTGAGGATCTAGCAGTTTGAGCACTAAAGTAAAAAATGATTTGGTTAGAATTCTAACCGCACAATTTACTACGTGTATGTCCTGGGCTTTTCACATCTTCCCTGTACATTTCAGAACCACATGAGCATCAAATAAGATGAATAAATGATCTTCAATAAGCAATGTTAAAAGGGTATATCACATTATCATTTCCAGAAAAGGGCTGAATGAGCATTTGGTATTATATCATATGTTACTGAATGAGCATTTAGGTATTATATCATATGTTATATATTCTAGAATCAAAGGAATCCCTAAGAACTCTCAAGAAACAGTGACTTTCAGAACTATGTTGAAAGCTTGTTGCTGTTGTTTTTGGGTATGTCCATTTTGGCATTTTCAACTTCTGGCTCCCCAAATCTTTTAGGAGACATGCCTACGAGGCATCATGAAAAGGATACCTTGAAATTAATTGCTGCTACCAAGAAAATCTCAGAATGGATTCTTTTGGGGGCAGGAAACTGTACCAAAGTGTAACTCAAACAAGGGTGTAGGATTCTAGTTCTATCAAAGGCCAACCTTTGATTTGTGCTCTACATCACATCTCATGGATGTCACTCCTGAAACTATCCTTGCTCTCTCGGAATATCAATTTCTCTCTGTACAGATTATTCCTAAAGTGTGAAAATATGCTCTCATATCATTTGACTTAAACAAAATAAAACAAAAAATCTTTCTTAATGCCATATCATCCTTGCATTAATGTAACTCCTCTTCACAGCAACACTTCTTGACAAAATTGTCCCAAATTGTACTGTTTCATCTACCATTCAAAGCAATTTAATAGTCTTCCAGCTGAACACGTTCTTGTCAAGATCACCAATAGCCTCTCTGTTACTGAATCCTACAGTCACTTTTCTTTCTTCATCCTATTAAAGCTCTTAATGGTATTTGGTCGATCACTCCCCCCTCCTGAAGTCCTATCTTGTGTTCCTTAATTGTGGTGACAAAACAGGTAC